TTTATCAATCTGCATTCATTCCAGAAATGGGGAAGCTGCAGTACCATATCTATGCTACACTTGGTATTGACTGTCTTCTGAAATTTTAGCCATTCACATATTTTTTCTGATGATTGTTGCACATTTATAATGTGCTTAAGGGTAAACATGTCTTATTTATTATATGCCATGTCTATTCGACACCTATTATTGAGTTGTACAAGTTATTTATGTATCCTGATACAAATTCTTTGTTAGATAACATGTATCAGGAATATTGTTTTGCTAGTCTGTGCTTTACCTTTTATTTTCAGTGTCTTTTGAAGATCATAAACTTTATATTATGATAAGATTCAATTTGTTTCTTCTTTTTTTATCTTTCTGTTCCATTCTAAAAAAATATTTGCCTAAGCAAGGTATGGTGGCACATGCCTTTAATCCTACCAACTCAGGAGGATCATAAATTCAAGACCAGTCTTAGCAATTTAGCAAGGCTCTAAGTAACTAAGGGAGACCCTGTCTCAAAAATAAATAGGGCTGGGTGTGACTTAGTGCTTAATCACCCCTGGGTTCAATCTCTGAGTTACAAAATATATATATATATATCTTACCTAACTCAAAGCCCAAAGTTTTTTTTCCTTGTTTTTTTTTTTTTTTTGGTAGAAAGTTTATAGCTCAGCCAATTTGTTTTGAATTAACTTTGTATATACCATGGTATAACAGCTGAGGTTTGTGTGATTTCACATGGTTGTCCAGTGGTCACAGCAGCTTCAGCTGTAAAAACCGTTCTACCCTCCTGGAGCTATCTGGGCATAGCTGCTGAAAATCAGCTGACCAGACATTGCACTTGCAGTAACTCAGTTCCAGTGAGCTCTTCTTATTTTTTAGTTTAACAACACTCCATCTTGATGAGTGTAAGTTCACAAAACATATTAAGATTAGCTTCTAACTTTGTTTTTTTTTTCCTGGAAAATTGCTGAGCTATTTAAAGTCCTTTGTATGTCCATACAAATTTTAGAACCAACTTGATTTCTACCAAAAAACAAAACAAAACAAAACAAAACACCATCTTCTGGGGTTTTTTGACTGAGACCAAATTGAATCTGTAGATCAACTGGGACAGTATTAACATCTTAAAAAGAATTCCAATTCATAAACATAGTACATCTATTTAATAATGATGTTTTGAATTTTTCAACAATATTTTATAGTTTTGTATAAAAATCTTGCATGCATTTTATTAAAATTATACATTAGAGTCTCATGATTTTAGAAATCATGGTAAATATTATTGGGCTGTTAATTTTATTTTCCATTATTTCTCTTATCTATAGAAATATGAAGGATTCTGTATATTGACTTTGTATCATGCGACCTTACTAGAGACTCATTTTTTAGTTCTATCAGCTTTTTTGTAGATTACATAGGATTTTCAACATACATGATCAGATCACCTGTGAAAAATGAAAGTTTTCCTTTTCCTTTTAAAAACTCTTGCCTTTTATTGTCTTATTGTACTGCTATAACTTCTAATATAGTGTTGAATAGAAAGCTGTGCTTGTTCATTTTTCAACATTACATTTGCTGTTGGTTTTTGTAGATGCCTTTTATCATGTTGAAAAGTTACCATATATTCCTTATCAGCTGAGAAGTTTTTCTCCTTCTGAAAACTATGTGTTGAAATATGCTAGGTTCTTTGCATTAATTGAAATGATCATTTGTTTTCTTTTATTCTATTAATATGATGAATAACCTCGTGTGCTTTGTTTTGAATGTTAAATCAAGTTGCATTTCTGCAATAAATTCCATTTAGTCATACTATATTGTGCTTGTTTTATATGGCTGAATTCAGTATGTCAATCTTTTCTGAGGACTTTTGCAACAAGGCCCATGAGAGGGACTGTACTGTAGCTTTCTCACAGTACTTTAGTATATAAGTGCCTTGCATATGTCATAGTGACTAGTTTTTATTCATTTTTCTTCACCAAGAAAACATGAGAATTCTCTAAATTCCTATATTTTCACAAAGACAGAATAGTTACCTCAAAGAAAAATCCTTTATATTTTAATAAACCCTTCATACTTTGTTTAGAAACAACACACAAATGTGATGAATCACATCAATACTCTCATTAGCTCAAAGCCTTACTAAAAATTATGAATGACAGTTCCTGAGAGATGATATTTCTATTGTTGTTTACTACATTCTTTAACTCCTTCATGGATATACTGACCACTTAGAGATAAATTCCTATTTTCCTGAAACACATTGAAACTTCTGAGGTTTTTGATTTTTCTTAGCCAATTCAACGTTACCTTCAAAGAGAATTGATAGATAGGGTTGATTTTTCTGAGATCATTAATAACAAAATAAAGAAGGGATGCTCTTGCCGCTACTGGTCTGTAACATTCTCGGGCCTCATTGATTTTTCTTTCATTTTCTTTGGCTTCAATCACCTATGGTGGGATCAAACAAAATTAGTAACTTACTCTTCATGTTCTCCAAACATACCCAGGCAATGGAAGGATGTATTTGAAATGAGAAAGGATTCATGTTAAAATAAACAACACAAATGGCATCTAAGTGCTTGAGCCTTTTTAGAATTATTAAATCCATATTCTTAAATATTTTTTTCATAAATTGAGTTTTAGTGAGAATGATTTCTGCTGCTTTATAGATGGCAGATTGAAACAACACTAATTGTTTTGGGTCCTATAGTGTTGATTTCTCAGGAATGTCACCTTCCTACCTCCCCTTTCTCTTTCAGGGCTTAATAACCCAGCTATATCACCTCCCAGGGATGGCTCTTAAAGTCTGCTGAGTCAATTTGATGCCAACAACTTTATTAGGCAACAAGGTGTACAAAAGCTGCCAAGGTCAATAATACATCCAATAGCAGTGCTCACTAAAAAGCATTTATACAAATACTGTCATGACCGTCTAATTTTAACAGCACCAGATCATCCATATGCTCATGTATTTCCATTTACTTTTATGTATTAGCCTCTGGGCTTGTTTAGAGAGATAATTAAAAAAAAAAAAACTACCACCATCCATCAACATATTCATTTTTATTCAAGGATCCAGTATCTGTTTCTTTTACCTAGGTCCATGGCTTTACAAGATACAATATTTTCCCAAAGTATTTCTATAAACTTGACTCACAGTATTTATGTATAAAAGGAAATAAAATATAGAGAATAGGGAAGTTACTCACATGCAATATGTTGTTAAGACAGGAAGTGATACTCTAAGAGACAATTAGAAGTTAACTTCAAAGCTAAGACTTAATTTACTTAATTGCCCTAATCTTTACTATCTTAGCAGCTACCTAGAATTTACTTTCTTAAAAGGATAGAGTAATTTGGAATTCTATTTCCTTGCTTAATTTAAGACAAATACATTGGATGTTTGGTGACACAACTTCTGTTGGGTAATTAATAGATTACTATGAGGATATTCTAGAAAGCAAATCAGGGTCTAGTGCTGACTTGGAAACATTGGGATGTCAAGGGTTAGTGACCACGTGTGAAAGTTCAAAGTGCATACCATGCACATGGCATTTGGAAACTCGTGTTGCACAGTTAGCCAGAAGCCTACTGGATGAAAAATTTCACCAGTTTTTGGGGAAGTATCATTTTCCCAGGGTAAACAATGCATTTGAGTGAAGCAGGACACCATCTCTTGCTGTTTCCTGCCACTGCAGACCTATGAACAAAACTTCAGCGCCAAGGGTTTCTCTAAAATGCCAACAGACTGGGGAAATTGTGCTAAGACTATAGGATATAAGTTTGCCTAAGCCAAATGCTAAGCCTTTTTAGATTTTTCCACCATAGAAGACAGCAGGCTCTAGTTTTCCTCAAATTTGGGCACTCAAGAGAAATAATAGCCTGACAGAGTGTAATGTGAATGACTGGACTCTGAGGAATTAGAGTCCTCAACCATTTCCATCTCCACTCTAAATCCCACACTGTCCAATTTTTAAGGGCATGTCGTTAAATGACCTGAATTCCACAACACATCATTCCTCTCAGAGGAAGAACCACTTTGATTGCACTGTAGTCCCAAGCATTTCATTCAAACAGAGCATGAAAACCCCCAGGCATGGTCTGCCCTTTCCTACCTTGTGCTCTATCTCTGCTGCGGTGGCCTTTGTTGTCTCCAGCCTCTCTACCAGATTGGTGTCATCTAGGAAGCTTCCCTCTGCTGCCGAAAGGCGTAGGAGGAGGTCATCCTCCAGGTGCTTCAGTTCAATCTTAAAGTCATTTTGGTGCTTTGTCAAAACCAACTAATATAAACCAAAGAACGTGTGAGAAATGGTGACTAAATATAGAATTTTAAGAGGGAGTTTCTTAATCACAAATTTCATAGCCAGTGTGTATATAATAAAACACACAACATTAAAACCATACTGATCATACTTAAAAACTTATTTTTAAAATTTCAGGAGGCATGGTAAGATCTAGTTGTACTCTCGGGTCATGAACATTTATTACAATCATTTAATATCATAAGCCTGCAGAAATAATCTGTTTAATATCAGAAACTTCTGGTTTCTACTCTGACATGATTTTGAAGACTCATTTCTATTCCCATTGAAGGACTACAGGGTCCCAAACCCAACGTTAGGAATTCTAACCCCTGTGCCCTACAGGATGTTCCCATGTACAACCCCCATGTTAAAACCCCACAAGCTGCATGTAGCACTTCCCAGCTGCACGTAACACTCCAAGCTCTATACAATGCCACCACCAGATGTTCCATATAGATAATCCTGGGAAGGCCAAGCTTGAGCAAATAGAGTAAAAACAGGAACTAAAAGAATAGGATGCAATTTATGGGTTTCTTTTCTGAGAACATAAAGTGGAAAAAACAAGTTTACCCCCCAGGTGACCTAAGGGGCTGGACCTAGAGGAACTTAGATAAACCAATAGAATAACTGTTACTGTGCTAGGCTGAAACCTTGCCCCTTGCTTCCTATAAAAACTCGGTACCCCCGAGCCCGAGTGTGCCAGTCACCGAAGCTCCGGCTGAGGTTTTGCTGTGCACCACGGGCGCCTGTGTGAGAATAAATCCTCCTGCTGTTTGCATCCAGTGTCTCGCGTGGTCCATTCCGGGTTGGGGGATCTGGGGGTCTCTCATTTGGGGGCTCGTCCGGGATCACTGGTTCAGCCCAGACCCAAATCCGGAGGACACTCAACATCACTGGGAGGTAAGCCGGCCAGCTCAAGCTCTTTGTCTTGTCTTGTGTTTAATGTCTTGCGCAGCGTCTGTAAGGTCTTTGAGACTATGCGTAGTCACCTAGTATTCTGGGCAGCTTGAGAAGGAGTTGATGAACTTGGACTTCTCCCCTGCCACCCCGGGAGACGTCCCAGGGATTTTTGTAGGCGGCGGTGGAGCTTCCACTCCTTCTAAGCCATCTGTATTTGTAGGCAACGGTGGGGCTTCTGCTCCACCTAAGCCATCTGATCTGAAGTTGGGCAGCGCTCTTTCTATTCGGTCTGATTGTAGTGTTATTGTGATTATTGTGTTATTGTTTCCGTCTCTGTATTCTATCTCCCAATCTGGGGTTGTCAGACCCAATCTGAGGGGGATGCTCTCCCAATCCGTTTGTCTGAAGGGAAGACCCCAGTCGGCTTCGGGCCAGCACCCATTTTCATTTTTTTTGACAATCTGAAAAGGGAATCTATGTCTTTATGTGTGTCTCTGTGTGTCTTTTTGTCTGTGTCTCTATTAAGTGTGATGGCATTGTTTTACTTTGAACCGATGCAGAGTCCCAAATTCTAATCTGCCTTAGAGGTGTGGAGATAACTTTAGCTAGATTTTAACCTAAATTGTAAAGGAGATTAGGGAAGCAGTGTTTTCTTTTCTTCCCATAGTTGGCCTGAGTACACCCGCTGCTGCTGTTAAGAAATGTCTGCTGGGGATCTAAGAACTTTGATATCTCCCTTTAACTCTTCTCAAAACCCGGTCCTCATTATTAAATTGGTGTTAATTGGCTTTGGGGGATGGGAACCAAATTTTCAGTCACAAATTTTGACACTCCCGAGGGGGTTTTTAAGAAATCCCCACTCTGCTTTCTTGGGGAAGCCTAGCACTCAAAACAACTACAAGTAGAGGATGAACTTTTTGGGAGCTGTCTACTGAAAAGTTAGAAAAAAAAAATATGCCTAGTGCCTAAGGTCAAACCAAACTGGAGGAGAGCTAATCTTGCAAGTGAAAGGGAAAACTGAGGAATTCCCAGCAGCTGCCAGAGCCTTTTTCGCTTTGGGGAAATTTCCTCATTTTTTTCTGCACTGTAAGGATTACTCCACCTATATGCAGTAAGTCAGTCACACTGAGAATTGCCCCTATGTGAAAATATCTGGTCCACTCATGGGAAATCTAAGGTGCCACTGATGGGAGTCATAATTAAATGAAAGTTCAAAACCTGGAGAGATATATTCTTATCTGGTTGTCTGATTGTTTTTTTTAAAAGATAATCTAGGTTAAATGTGTGTCTAACAAAATTAATTTTTTTTTATTGTAACAATCTGGTATCTGAATGGGTTTCTAAAATATTGCACTATCTTGCAGTTAAAAGTTGGGGTTAGGTAATTGTTAAGTTTGTGATTTCAGGTAATTCATGCCAGAGAACTTAAGTATTTAGGATAGAAAATTAAAAGAACTCTACTTCCAAGTTGGTAAGTAACTCCCAATCATTCAGTTTTATTTTTTCATCAATTCTTGAACTGGGTAGCCTAAGGAAATTTCACTAGGTATACAGTGCATTGATTTGGACAAGGACAATAAATTATGATTTGGTATCTGTTTCTCTCAATATATAAATTTTTAAAATAAAAAAAAAACTTTAAAACAAGGAAAGTAACTTAATGATCCTGAAGAAACTTCCTCTGATGGTAACTTTTATATTATCAAGAAAGATCCTATTTTCAGTTTTGTGTGAGCAAATTTTTCTAATGTAAAAAGATAAAATTGTGACT